TGCGTCGGGCTCATCTCCTGCCTTCCCAGCCCAGAAAAGCCTCATCGTCACCACGCAGTCTCAGATTGGGCAAAACCCATTGTTCTTGTTTTGAATCAGGATTGCAGCAACTGTTCCCTACATCAAGCATTGGTGAAGGGTCTAGAGCACAGCTCTGGTGAGGAGCAACTGAGGGACCTGCAGGTGGGGAGCCTGGGGCAAAAGAGGCTCAAGGGCAGACCTGCTGGCTCTCCACAGCTCCCTGACAAGAGGCTGGAGCCAGGTGGGGGTTGGGGTCTTCTCCCAAGGACAAAGTGATAGGACAAAGGGAAGCAGCCTCCTGTTGTACCAGGGGAAGTTTATGTTGGGCGTGAGGAAAAATGTTTTCCCCAAATGGACTGTCCAGGCCTGGCCAAGGCTGCCCAGGGCAGTGGTGGAATCCCCATCCCTTGGAGGGATTTAAAAGCTGTGTAGATGTGAGGGACATTGGTTAGTGGTGATCTGGCAGTGCTGGGTTAACGTTTGGATTCAGTGATCTTAAAGCTCTTTTCTAACCTGAATGATTCTATGATAGCCCCACGAGCAGGGGCTGCTCGCTTTCACACGGGGCAGCCTCCCCTGGCACGTGCTGCCGGCACAGCGACGGGCACTGACCTGTATTGCTCCGATATTCTCCATCAGCTGGTCGGCGTTGGAGGCACCCAGCAAGACGGAGCTGACGCCCTCGTTGCGCAGGCACCAGGCTGGGGAAGGAGAGCAGAGCCTGAGCAGGACCCAGCCGCCCCCGCGTTCCCCCATCCCCTCTGCTGTCCCCCGTCTCCTTACCGATGGCGAGCTGGGGCAGGGTGCAGCCCAGGCGCTCGGCGATGGCTTGCAGCTCCTTCAGCTTTGCCTGCTGCCGCCGGCCCTCCTCACTCAGGATCTTGTCCTTCAGCCACTGGTATCCCTGGGGGCAGGAGCAGGCTTGGAGCGGGTGTTGTGGTGGGATCAGGGTGGACCAGGACTGTGTGCAGGGAGGGTACCCCCAAACTCCCCAGGTTGTGGCTCCTGGACCTCCTGCTCCCACAGGGACCTCGTGACTCCCCTGGCTCTGCTCCCCTGGTTCTGCCCATCCCGTCACCCCCCACCCCCCAGGCCAGGCTCACCTTCAGCGAGGCGCGGGAGTAGGGGGGGATCCCCCCGTCATACTTCCCTGAGACGATGCCACAGGCCAGCGGGGACCAGGTCATGGCTCCGACGCCTGGGGCAGAGCAGAGCAGGGGGTGACGCTGCTGTCCCACATGTCCTCTGGGGACCAGCACAGGGGCTGGCTGGCCCCAGGGACACATGCTGTGCCCCGATGAGATTGGGCAGGGTTACCCCTGCCACCGCACCTATCTTGTGGAAGAGCTCAGGGAGCTGCACCTCCACCTTCTCCCGCTGGAACATGTGGTACTCGGCCTGCTCGCAGATCGGCGGGATCAGGTTGAACTGCCGGGCCACCGAGTATGCTTCCTGTTGAAGAGCCGGGACCCTCAGTGCCCTGCTGCTCCCCTTGAACCCCCGCTGACCCACCCTGGCTCCCCTGGCCAAGCCCCGAGCAGCGTCCCGAAAAAATAATTAAAGCTCAAGCGCATCTGCAAGCGCTCGGCTCCTGCCAGCTGCTGTCTCATTA